CGCCGGCCATGTGTCGGTTGTAGCTGTTCATAACGTGGGGCTGTGGGACACCAACCTTTTCTTTTCTCTCTGCTATAGTGTTGCACATTTAGTATGGGTTTAACGGAATCATACAGTATGTTGCAAAGGATACTCACAATGGCTCAATAATTCCTTTATAACGAATGCACCAATTCCAATTGTTTGTATTTGTCAGTTGCACTGGAGTATGGCAGAAACTGGAAGATATATCCACTATCCAAAGAAAGTGTTCATAGCTTATAACCGAAACTTATTGGTTTTACAAGTTTCAATGTGAATAGTTGCGGCTCAGGCATTTCTACAACGACACCATAATCTTGTGCATTTGATTCGTATATAACTTCAATAGTACCTAAACACCATCTCACAATGGACACGCTGAATTCAAAAAAGGGTAACAAAATTTTAAAGTCGCATGTAATGTTTGTTGATATTTCATCATAATTAATTATTTAATTGTCCGATTCACCAGCAACATTATTATTCAATAGTTAGCGGAGAGTCACCGGGCACTAATAAGTCATCTTCGCTCCAATTGTGAATAATATGCAATAGTTCCTAATTTCTTAGACATCTGAGGCACGACATTATAATTTTATTTACAGTTAAAAATTGACGAAAGAACTTTTAGCAAGAACAAATGTAAGTTCTATATTATACAATCAAATTAAGACTAACTCAACCAGCAATTTAATATTAAAATAGACTTATAACTATTATGCATAGTAAAAAACACAAGTTCAAGTTAATTAGAAGAGTATGATATTTATTAGAGATATTACTCTCATTTTATTTCATTACCTAACGAGAAACATGTATATTGCAGTGTTTTATCATTATAGTATTATGGGACATGCCTTTTTTCGCCGGGGTCTGGTGGCACGTAACTGTTACTAAGGCGCCGGCAAAAATTATGAAAATTATATTTGGACTTTTGTGAACACATGTTATAACAAATATATTAGTTTTGATTTCTATTTATTTTAATATTGATTTAATTAAAAAAGCGTTTTTTTGGACACTTTTTATTTCGGACTAGGTAAACTCATGAACAGATGAAAATTGTCCGAAATATGTATTTTTATATTACTAATATATCAAACTAAGTAACAAAAATAAAAAACATTGAATTAATTACTTTCATATATTTTCAAATAATTTTCAAAGTTAGCCGTGTGATGTACCACACGGAGGTACGAAATAGGTTAACTATGAGTTTAGACAACCTTTCGTTTCTGTTTTTTTCTCACAAATTTTTTAAATAACCGTTCTTTTCGGTTCCTGAAACAAATAAGTTCGACCTTAAACTTTTATGTTCAAATGCAATATACTAAATTTTTATTTTTCAATAATGCCGTTTTGATTTGTGTTTTGATTTGAAAGATTTTTCTATATTCGACTAGTTAATAAAAACCACTATTTTGTGCAAATTCGGAAAATAGCATTTCTTCTTTTTCTTCTTATTTGGCACTACAGTCCAGTATGAATCTTGGCCTCCCTCACTATCTGCCTCCATCTGTCCCTATCTTCTGCTACTCTCTTCCAGTTCAGTATTCCAATCGTTCTTGCATCACCATACACGTTCCCATCCCATCTTTTTCTTGGCCTGCCTCTGTGCCTGGTTGTCGTCGGCTTTGCGTTGAATATGCTGTTCGGCTTTCTCTCTTGTAACCTTTGCGACTTAATGTATCTCACTATATTTTCGTTTTTAAGCAGTTCTTCAATTTCATTATCTGTTCGTTTTTGAAAAGTTTCTGCCCGTAGATTTGGCAAATTATTTTTCTTTCAAAAATTTTTAAAGCTTATTTGTCCGCCTTCGTCATTGTCCATATTTCTGAGCCATATGTATCTGCCGGTCTTATTATTGTCTTGTACATTCGTAGCTTACTTTCCTTGGATAGTAGTCTTGATTTCATTAAGTCTAAATATTTGTAAAAACATCTATTTGCTGCTTGTATTCTTGTTCTTATTGCGATTCTGCAATCGTTATTGTTGGTAATCAGCGCACCGAGGTAGGTAAAGTTGCTAAAATAGCATTTAACTTTAACAGCAATAAAGTGTTGATACAAAGAACTGCAATTACAACAAACTTTTAAAATTTTTTTTCGATTTGTATGTTTAGCCATTGAAAACGTTTATATTAAAATAATATTTAGGGGTGGTCCGAGTCGTTCCAATTTCATGCTAAACTAAATGGGACTTTTCTTGGGATTTTTTGCACTGAACATGTTTAGCATCAAAATATAACCAACAAGCCGGTATTACAATTTTCAATCGTGCTCTAGATGCTATATTTGGTACATATAAGTTATCAAGTCTCGTCTCCTACACTAATTATTGTGTTTATCGTTGTCTGTCCTAAATGAACAAAGAAATATTTTCTATTGTATTAACTAAACATTTCTTAATGATCGTTGTTTGTCCTAAAGGAACAACGAAATATTATCTATTGTATTAACTAAACATTTCTTAACGATCGTTGTCTGTCCTAAAGGAACAAAGAAATATTATCTATTGTATTAACTAAACATTTCTTAATGATCGTTGTCTGTCCTAAAATATTATCTATTGTATTTAACAGGAAATTGGAAATAACCAAACATTGTAACTAATCATTTCTTAATGATCGTTGTCTGTCCTAAGCAAACAACGAAATATTATCTATTGTATTAACTACTCATTATAACTAAACATTGTAACTAAACATTGTAACCAAATATTTTTTATTATCGTTGCCTGCCCTAAGCAAACAACGAAATATATTATCGGGATTCGATACTTCGAATCCTTGGTATAAATACGAGTAAAAATTATGTATATAGTTAGTCTTAAGAAACATTTCAAATAAAGTGGTAGCAGAAGCTACACAAAAAAATAATAGTTCTTATTTAATTTATATATCAATAGTCGAGCCTACACGACTTAAACATGAATCGAAAGTCCTTTACATTCATCAATTTCCAAAACGTATGTTCCAATAATAAGGAATTCTTATCAATTTGTGTTGGTTTCTCTGGATCGGTGCATGATGAGCAGGTTCTAAAAAGCAATCAATTATTTAATTCACAAAATTTTACACATTAAAATATTGCTACAAATGCCGTCTGCCAACAAACTAATTGACTAATAAAGTAGTATTCTAAATCAAAGTATATTTTAAAATATATTAAAGTAGAATTGTAGTTATTTTTCTCATTCTGATTCTATTTTATTTAAAACTAAAAATATTCATTTATTATTCTTTGTCTGTAACTAATTGCATCTTCTACATAGCCAGAGAGTGCGGCCCAGTTTTTTCCGTTTAATGCCTCTATTATTTCCTCCTATGTAAGAGTGTGTTTCCTATAGAATTTGTAGCGCATTTCTTTTAGAATTGGACATAATCAAATAAAGTGTATTTTTCCCTCTGGTTGATCTAGATTACACAATGAACAATGTGTTGAATTTACTTGCACATATGGTCTATAATTTAATTCAAGGAGTTCGCCTCGAGTTTTAAAAATCCGGCTAATAGTTCCAATAGTATAATCATCCAACCTTCTGTAAGCATGTCTATAATTACTTGCCCTTGCTGCCATTGTAAATTTAGCCTTTTCATTCGACATAAATTTTATTGCCATATATTTTTTTGCCAAAAACGACATACTATACTCTATTTTCGAGCAGCAATTCTTCTTCATGTTTATTATTATTCATGTTTACTTTATTATTAATTAAATAATTCTTCAAGACTGTCCGTTACTCAGAGTCGGACAATGGCATTTCGACTTGTAAGGAAGACGAATTGAGTAAGGACCCGTGCTGCTCTCACCTTCTTGTCTGTCTTTAAAGGCGAGGCACTGAAATGTTGTCTTGTTGGCCCCCCATCTGAATAAAGACCTAGTACGATGGGAACGAATGGATAATGAATTCTCTGATTGAGCTGCTTATTAATTAAGCGATTTTAAAAAGGTTGGACTCTAAATAAGCCAGCAGTGTTGTTGTTTCATATGTTATTTTTAAAATAAGCGGTTGTTCTTTTGTGATATGCTCAAAAAAGGACTAATATTAAATAAGAGTAAAAAAATTTTAGAAAAAAAAATATTTACAAAACTTATTGTTAATACTCACTAAATAATGAAATATACACATAGCAGAAAAAGTCTATGTTCACCCACAAAATTTTTCTTAAATTTCGCATAACCTTTTTAATTTTTACTGAAATTAATTTTCGTTTTCTGATTTATTGTAACCAAAGAAACAACAATAAAGTTCTATTACAAAAAATTAACAGTTATACTTAAAAAAAAATTAAATATAATTGTTAAGGTAGAAATTAAGTAATAAATAAATTATTTCACATTGTTAAATTGCGTCATTCAATTTATATTTTAAGCAATTTAGCAATTGTGAAATAATTTATTTTGAATATTTATGTTAAGCTGAGGCAACAACTTAACTGGAGCAACGGTGAAATATGCAACGTTGCATTTTGCATTATTAACAGTGTTCCAATTAATTTGTTGCTGAGGTATAATTATTATTAATAAAATTATTGCACAAAAATTGTATAAAAGAAATTGAAACTATAAAGAAAGTAATCAATCAATAAAAACTATTCTTTGATTCTCGTCGAAACCTAATTCTGCTTTATATAGAGTAAGTTTCAAGTGCTTAATCTATAACCGATAAGCAATATTCAATAAGTTAAAGTGCTTATTGAATATTATAAGGATTAAGGTATTTTAAATATACATAAAATTTGGTGACCCCGACGTGATCGACGTAGATCAAGGACGTAAATCAAGGACGTGACCAAAGATCACGATCACATACTACTTCATTAAGGCGTCGAAGCAAGAGCACAACAGTGTGAGCTTCAAGCAGATAAAAGGCAAAAGCACAACAAGTGTGAGCTTTCAATAAAACAGCAAGAGCACAACAGTGTGAGCTGCGAACACATTACAAGCACCAAGGTACCTGATTTGCTGGAAACAAATATGGAAACTTTTGAGGGGTTAATTCTCGAACAGCAACAACTGGGTCAATTAATCCAGAAATTGATTTCGAATTTCAAAAAGGATCCAAAAGAAAGGAAATTGAATAAAGCTTACTTTGAAGAACGTAAAAGGCGTTTAACTAATATATGGTCTGAATTTGAAGAAAATGACAACCGTATCAGAGAGTTGTCAGATGTCGAAACCACTCATGAATATTTTACTAATGAGGATTATTTAAAAACTAAAGACTTAGCAGAATGTTACATTGCTCGATTCACTCAGCAACTACAGGAGTTCAGTGACGAAGCAAATCTCAGCAAGAAGTCGCAAGTATCTAAAGAAACAGAAATTTCATGTCTCATTAACAAGCAAATGGGAATGAAAATATCATTAAAACGACTATTGGAGAAGGTCCAAGGAGATTTGGGATCAAACACGTTTACTGCGTTGGAAATATACAAAATAAAAATCAACAAGTTGTGGCAAGAAATTGAGGAACTCAATTTTAATATATGGGAAATCGCTAGTGACCCACTATCAATTGGTTACAATATAGACGATTATCAACAATTAGAGGAATTAATACAACAAACTTTGATTTCAATTTCTGAGCTGATAATAACAAAACAACCACATGTAGTTACAACAGAGGTAACTAACAATCCAATCCAATTACCGAAGGTGTCTATACCGCAATTTGGCGGAGATTATCTTAAATGGACACAATTTTATGATATGTTCTCTCAAATGGTAGACAACCAATCACTACCCAAGGTACAAAAGATGTGGTTTTTAAAAAATAATTTATCAGGAGAAGCAGAGAGGCTCATCAGACATCTGCCAACTACCAATGATAGTTACGACGTAGCATGGAAGATACTTCAGGAGAGATACAGGAATAAGAGGATATTAACAACCATGTTAATACAACGGCTGCTCGGACAACCTCAATGCTCTGGCACTGCAATGTCTCTAAAGTCACTACATGATGTCATACATGAATGTTTGTTGGCATTAAATAACTTAAATGTTCAAACAGTTCATTGGGATCCACTCCTCCTTCATTTATTAACAAAGAAGCTGGATGCAACTACACATACGTTGTATGAGCAATCATTGGCAAGGCCAAAGGAATTACAATCAATGACAGGGTTTCTAAGTTTCATTGAAACACGTTTTCAAACTCTGGAAGCAATCGGCCAAAAGAGTACTACCAATAATAACGTAAAGGTATGTAATACCGCAACAATCAACAAATCAACCAGGCAATCATGCATATATTGTAAGCAAGATTTACATCAAATATACCAATGCAAAGGGTTCTTACAAGCAAATACTTTTGAACGACTACAATTTGTTAAAAAACAAAACTTATGTCGTAACTGTTTGCGACCAGGTCATATAGCATACAACTGTAAATCAGGCAATTGTATCAAATGTAATCAAAAACACAACTCTTTACTACATGTAAACTCATGGGTTAATGGCACTGAAAAACATACAACAATACCAAAATCGAACAATACTCAACGCAATGTAAGCACAGGTTTAAGCGTTGATCATCAAGCATCATTAACTATTGCAAGAAAGCACAATGAACAGCAATATGTATTCTTAGGAACAGCAACTATAAGATTATTGGCACATAACGGCCAAGAAATTCAATGTAGAGCATTATTAGACTCAGGTTCTCAAGTTAATTTAATGACCGAGAGGGTAGCTCATCGACTAGGAATAACTCCAAAAGCAACATCAATGCGTATAAATGGAGTTGGTAACACCACAAAGGGTGCTCGTCAAAGAATCAGCACTGTTTTTAAATCAATGAATAGCAATTTCAATACAAATTTAGAAGCATTTGTGTTACCACATATTATTGCTCCACAACCAACACAATGTGTCAATATCAGTTCATGGAACATTCCAAAAAATATTACATTAGCTGATCCTAACTTCAATGAGCCACAAAAAATAGACGTATTATTAGGAGCTGAATTTTATCCACATCTCTTAACGTCAGGGCAAATCCAATTGGGAGTCGACAAACCAATACTCCAGAATACTACTCTTGGATGGGTTGTAAGTGGCAAACTATCAGAAACAGCAAAAGGTGACGCAGTCTGTTGTATGTTTAGCGAAGAAGAAGATTCGCTAAATAATCTTCTCGTCCGATTTTGGGATCTTGAAGAATCAGCACAAAATTCAAAACTACTGTCTGATCAAGAAAAATTATGTGAAACTCATTTTGTGGAAAACTTGAAACGTACTAAAGAAGGCAGATTTATTGTGAAATTGCCACTTATTGACAGTGTATCAACATTAGGATCCTCTAGTGAAATCGCACAACGCAGATTTTTCTCTCTTGAACGACGGCTGTCAAAAAATGAAACATTAAGGGCACAATACGTGCAGTTTATCACTGAGTATAAAGATCTCGGTCACATGGAAGAAATTCAACCTGATGACATCATGGCCTCACATTATTTCATTCCTCATCATTGCGTGATAAAACCAGATAGCACCACGACAAAATTACGTGTTGTGTTTGATGCATCTAGTAAAACTTCATCAGGTCGATCATTGAATGACATTATGCATACTGGTCCTGTGGTACAGAGCGATCTATTCTCAATATTATTACGATTCAGAATTCCAAGATACGCTTTCACAACGGACATTGAGAAAATGTATAGGCAAATACTTATTCACCCAGAAGATCAAATGCTACAATTAATCATTTGGAGAAATAATCCACAAGAGCCGCTACGATTTTATAAACTAAAAGCTGTAACATATGGGACTCGATCAGCTCCATACTTAGCTACCAAATGTTTACAAACTTTAGCAAGAGAAAGTTCTGGAACTAATCCATTTGGAGCAGAGACCCTACGAAGAGATTTCTATGTCGATGATGGATTATGTGGTTCTAACAGTCTGATAGAGGCTAAGGTGATTCAAGAACAACTAATTAACATTTTGAAATCATATGGTTTTAAGCCAAGAAAATGGTGCGCTAATCACCCACAATTACTACAAAACATTTCACCACATGATCAGGAAGTCTGTTGGGATATTTCTACTTGTTCGTTCAAAACAGCTAAGACTTTGGGAATGATTTGGACACCACAGCTTGATAATTTGTGCATAACAACAAGTATAACACCATGTACAACTTTTACTAAGCGTTCAGTAGCTTCAGACTTAGCAAGAGTTTATGACCCATTAGGATTGGTAGCACCAATCATAGTCACAGCAAAAATATTTGTTCAACAAATTTGGGAATTAAAGACGACCTGGGATGATCCATTACCTCATGAATATGAAGCCGAATGGATTAAGTTTCGGTCAAGACTGCAAGAAATTAATAATATGATCATTCCGAGACATGTTTTTAACCATGAAATTCCATTAGATATTCAATTACATTGTTTTGTAGATGCATCTGAAAAGGCATATGGAGCAGCAATCTATGTAAGAGCAATTCTAAAAACAAGTACAATCATAGTACGGCTACTTTGCTCAAAATCAAGAGTAGCGCCATTAAAAAGGCAAACAATTCCACGATTAGAATTGTGTGCAGCACTTCTGGGAGCCCAACTGTTAGCGAAGGTTAAACAAGATCTTGCATACGATAACCACAAATCTTTTTTATGGACAGACTCACAAGTTGTATTATACTGGATCAACTCTAACTCAAATATTTTTCAAACATTTGTAGCACATAGAGTAGCACGAATTCATGAAATATCTAATGCAAGCCAATGGCGTCATGGAAGTTCCAAATTAAATCCAGCAGATCACCTATCAAGGGGTTTACAACCTACGGAATTACATTCCAGTCACATATGGTTTTTTGGACCACTGTATTTATATGGAAGCGAATCATCATGGCCAGGTTCAATTGCTCAGGAACATCTTATAACTGATCATTCTGAAACCAAAAGAAGGGCGCTTGAAATGCAACGCTCAACACAACCTTCAATCGTAACTTCAGCAATCACCAGCATTACTGAAGATTTCATCTATAAGATCAATTATAGAAACTCGTTTGCAAGATTGCAACGAATCATTGCATACGCACTACGATTTGTAAAATACTCCAAAGGCAAAGACAACAGGCACACTACCTCTTTAATATTAAGTCCAGACGAGTTGAACTCATCATTACAAGTAATCATTCGTATAATACAACAAAGCGATTTCAGGGAAGAATTGCAGCAATTACACTCAAATGGCACAGTGCACAAAACTAGTTCTCTCTCTAGTTTAAGTCCATTCTTAGATAGTAACGGAATTCTAAGAGTCGGAGGTCGACTTTCATCATCACTTATAGCTTATGATACCAAACATCCAATGGTATTGCCATATAATGATCCAATTGTGAAAAGTGTTTTCGTTGATGTTCATAGAAAAAACATGCATTGTGGTGCACAAGCATTATTGTCACAAATCCGACTTCAATTTTGGCCCATCAAGGGAAAGATAATGGCTCGATCAACGGTTCAACATTGTGTCCGCTGCACAAGAAGCAGACCAACAACATTTCAACAAATAATGGGTCAGCTACCACCAGCTAGAGTTCAACCTTCAAGGCCATTCTACAATGCAGGAGTAGATTTTTGTGGACCATTTTGGGTTCACTACAAAATCAGAGGAAAAAGACCACACAAGGTTTATGTAGCAGTGTTTTGTTGTTTTGCCACAAAAGCAGTCCATTTAGAAGTGGTGAGCGACTTAACTTCTGATGCATTTATTGGTGCACTGAAGAGGCTCATAGCTCGACGAGGACATTGCAAAACGCTGCATTGTGACAATGCTACAAATTTTGTTGGTGCGAACAATAAATTAAATGAATTATCCGAACTGCTACGTAAAACTTCTGTTCAAAATAAAATAGTTCAAACATGCAGTGATAAATTAATCACATTTAAATTCATTCCACCTCGAACTCCACATTTCGGGGGTCTTTGGGAGGCAACTGTTAAATCAGTTAAATATCATTTAGTTCGAAGTACATCAACAGCTTCATTAACCTATGAAGAGTTGGAAACGATCATTGTGGAAATTGAAGCAATATTGAACTCAAGACCATTAACACCAATGTCATCAGATCCAAACGATCTTGCCGCATTGACACCAGGTCACTTCCTTATTGGTGAACCACTCACTGCACCTATAGACACCAATGTTCATGGGACAAATCACAACCTACTTACAAGGTGGAAATTGGTTTCTCATTTGAGACTGGAATTTTGGAAAAGATGGAACGCTGAGTACTTAACAGAACTACAACAGCGACATAAATGGAAGGTTCCTGTTAACAATGTCAAAGAAAACACGATGGTCATAATTAAAGAAGACAATACAGCACCACTCAACTGGCCCTTAGGTCGGGTTACGAAAGTGTTTCGAGGCGATGATGGCATGGTACGAGTAGTGGAAGTGAAGACAGTTGCAGGAATTTGTAAACGGCCTATTCATCGGCTTGCTCCACTGTTTCGAGAAGATGAAGAGAAAGACGAAAAACGAAAACATCATTCAAACATAAGCCAGGAAGATACTTTGGTAGTTCCATCAAAGAAAATAAAGTTGCCCCAACAAACAACATTATTCGCAATCATTCTCACACTATTCTTTCTGCCAATTATATTGGGCAATCCTGTAACCACAACACAGCTTAATTCAAGTATTGGTCTCTACTTCGAAAATATGGGCACTGTTCAGATGGTAACAGGTGAATGGAAAATGGTTGTTTATTATGAATTAGCTCCGGTACAGACCCAATATAACACATTCGTTAATGGAATTTCTGCACTAGATAAATTGTGCATCAAACTACAGCAGGGTTCGGCTTGTCACACGCTCGTAGGTACGTTTGAGCATACAAGAGATGATATCCTACAGGAGAAGATTTTATTAAACAACAGACGAGATAAACGAGGAGCCATAAACCTCGTTGGAAATGTGGCAAAGGCTTTATTTGGGGTTCTGGACTCAAATTATGCAGAGGATATGTCACAAACAATAAATCAGCTAAAGGAAGATGATAACCACCTAGCTAGATTGCTGCAGAATCAAACCTCCATAATAGATTCAACATTAAATATACTTAAACGTGATGAAGAAACTGTTAATAGTCAACTTGGTCAACTTCAAGATCAAATTAGCCAAGTACTAAATCGAATCGACAATGAAACCGAACAAATTAAAATTACGCAGATATTCATATCAATTGCAATACAATTGACACTGATGGGTGCTAATTTGCAAAGAATACAAGCGGAAATTATAAATGTTTTAATTGACTCTCATCACGGAAAAATAAGTCCTCTATTGTTATCACCTCAACAACTAAAAAATGAGATCAAGCATAAAAGAAGTCATATTCCGCCATCTCGACGATTTCCGGTTAATCAAGATGATTTAGTTCAACTCTACAGAATAATGGAAATATCTGGAGCAGTAACTAAGGAACAAATCATATTTGTTATTAAGGTACCACTTATAGATTCCTATGACATGGAACTATTCAGAATATTACCTATACCAACAGTTATAAACAACACCATTTTAACAATCAAAAGTGATGTCTCGTTTATAGCAGTAAACACATTTCGAGATCAATACATTCCCCTGCGAGAAAATGAGCTAGATAATTGTCAAATT